AACAAATTCTGATTTATTGAAAGTAAACATTTACATTGGTTACAACATTATAAGTGTTACAAAGCTGGATAAAAGAGGCTTAAATAGCAATAGAAAGCAAGTGCGGTAAAAAGTGAATAGAGAAAATATTTGGCCTTAGTGATCTTCTGGCAGTATTTACATTATGTATATTTTGTTAAATATTTGTAGTAACACTAAGGCACCATAGGCTAAATAGCAGGCTGAGTACTGTCTTGTGCACAAAAATTTAATAAATTTATTTGGAGAAAAAAAGGCCGTAGAGTTAAAAGAAACATAGGCATATTTTATGTTTACATAAAGGAATGGCTGCTTCTTAAAATTCAAAGATACAATACATGGTAAATTAAAAAATTATTTTTAGAACATTAAATTATATTGAATGTCTGTGTATAAGGAGTATTTTTACTGACTCACTGGTAAATGCTTAATGTAATCTATTCTTCAATAGGTGTTTCACAGGCTAGATATGTTCATCTAAAAACTACTTGAATTCTTGTTTTTTTCCTTACAAAAGTCTTATACCTAGTATGTCATACTGTATACAAAATCCCAATGCAAAGTGCAATGGGTAGTAATTTACATCATAGCCATTCCATGGCAGACAAAAACTTAACAGGAACACACAATCAAATACTACATTTGTCACATGAAACAGAAGCTCAACGTATTTTATTCCATCTGCTCTTGTCCGTGGCTGTTGCTTCAGCCCGCGAGCAGAGTAAGAAACTGCCATCCAAGGAAAGACAAAGGAGCTCAGCATTTTCAGACCTAAAGTTTCCAAAACTAAATCCGGAGATTCAAACTACTGGTGACATTCTTGTGCATTTTATATGACACTGTGCTTGCAGAACACTGCTTTGTTTGAAGTAAATCTTCCCATTTTTATTTATCACATTCTGAAGCACAAGATTCCCTCCACTCCCGAGTGCTTTAAGGAACACATTTGATTATTGTTACAGCCCTGTCTGATTAGACTCAAAATACTTTCTGAACAACTTTCAGCCCTACACATATTTTAACTACTCTCCAAACAAAAAACCTTGCTTAGTTTAGTCAACAGGCTCATCTTTCACGTTGAGCTAGTGTTTGTAACGAAGAAATTGTGCAGGACACCAAATTAACACCTTGGTTTTGAAAATAAAGCATCACAGAACCCTAAGTGCCCCAAGATACGAGTGGAAATGTGGCCAGTGCCAGCTGTGTCACTGCAGTGCTCCTGACATGCTGCCTGCAATGGTGACAGCTGGCGGAGGGGCTGCATGGTGTCTGCAGGAGCATGAGGCTCAGCCCCATCTGCCAGGGCCCTCCCAGCCCTGAGGCCCTCCCAGCTCCTTCCCCTCACCTTCATCACCACAGCTGCCATCCCACCCTCATGCAGCCAAGAAGCTTAGTCCTGCTAGATGCTGCCCAGGCGTACGGGCCAGGAAACGTGCAGGCATCTGCACGCTGACCCATCTGCAATGGGCCTTTGCCTCAGAGGCTTTTAAAAAACTTAGCATGAGAGTGAGGAATGACTAGTACAAGAAACACTTAATGTTTGTTCAAAGGCCTAACCCTCAGCACCTCCGATGGGTGTTCAGCATAATGCAGGATCAGACCCCAAACCTATATGTTGTGAAAATGCTAAGATTACAGAGTGCTTTTGCTCCTGTAAAGTTACTTCCCTGCCAGTCACAATAAGTATTCTTTATATTTGACTTACATTTTCTAGAGCCAAGAAGAAATCCATCTAAATTAATATAATGCTTAAGTAACTAGATACTGTTTTTATATTTGTTTAGGTTGTTTTTTCAGTGTTTCTTTTTATCATGAATCTCTTCATTCAGTTGTCCCTTTTTTTTTTGCACTTTGTACTCATCCATGTTGGAAGTATGCTAATTATTTCCACAGTATGAGGTGGTTTGTAAGTATAATTGATCTAAACACAAATTCTTAATTTGGAGTCATCTTATATTTGTATTAACAAAAGCATAATCTTAGCATTATTCATCAGATGTGTTTTTAGTACCAACAGCTATAATATTAAAATTATACAGCCTCAATATAAGCATCACCAATTCCGGTGTCATTGATTAGTTCCTGTAAAATATTAAGCAAATTATTACACAAACTGGCCATTTTATGGTAAGTAATACAGACCCAAAGACTCAGGTGATCGAAGCAGGGTAGCACTGCTGAAGAAAACAGAGCTATATTTCTTCATAACATAGAAGATAACTCAAATTGCTTAACCCCTTGAATGCTAAATATCTGCCTGAATTTCAAGAAAGGTTTAAAAGTACCTTTTTTGATTCTTTTCTCAATGTTTAAAATACTTATAGAAATATAAATATGGTAATTTATAATTAGGGTACAATATTAAGGTATTAACATAATTTTTCTGTCAAACCTTCCCCATTTGGGGGCTTGTAATTTGTTGTGGGAGGTAGGAAGAAGTTAGAAAGTTCTTTCCCAAGAATTCTCTCAGTTGCTCCATGCTGGACGTGGTCACAGCTAGATACCTATGGCTTCATGGAGATTTCTACCAAGAAAGGTAGTAGAGTCTGGGGCTCTCTTTTCTCTCTGTGATTGCATGTTGTTTGTGAAAAGCCTACATCTTTACTGCAGGAGTTATAAAGATGGCTCTATCACCAATATGTGCATGATAACAGAGGAAGGGAAATGCAAGGGCTTTATGGATAACACAGGGCCTTTGCTCAGATGAGCCTGGATTTTTATTTTTCATCCCCTGGAATCCATGTGAACATAAGTATTTGGAAGAATTTGGCAATATGCAACTTCCACCCTTGGATAAAACCATTAGGGAAAAATCCTTCAAAGAAAATCTCCTCCTTGGGCTTTTTCATTCCAGTTCTTGGTGATAAAGTCTTGGCTTCAATTTTGAAGTTTGCTATAGAAAGGCTATTTATTTTTGAGTAACAGACCCCCAAAGAACCTCCCTCTTTAAAAAAAATTCACCTTGTAAAAATGATGAGAACTAATACTTTGTTAAAGGAATGATCTGAAGACTCATGTTCACCTGCAGATAATATAACACCTTAGAAGTTTCCCATTAATATTTTGGCTAAAAAAAAAAAGTGCCTGAGTCACTGTGTAGCAAGTGAATTTTGGTTTAATTCCATTGCTGTGTAACACTGGGCTTGTGTCCTTGCACTGACCCTGAAGAAGATGACTGCTTACTTGGCTTCTCCAGTTCACTCATGGTCATCTTTCTTTTCTCCTAGTTTTTTGAGGAAGTCTTCCAGAGTGGTGGACTATCAGCCCAGGGTTAATGTAGGATATCTTTGTGGACTTGCTTCCTAGTTTCTTTCTGTTCTGCAAAACATAGTGATTAAGACACATATGGCAGGACAAATCATGGAGAGATGGTCATTCCAGGGTCTCAGCTCCACTTCCGAATTACGCTGATTTTGTGCAGTTACACAATCTAAGGCAGTCCTTACATAGATAAATTTCAGAAATCCTTTTTGTTTCAAGAAGTTAACCTGTGTCCCAACACAAAAGATAACAATTAGAGTAGTGGTACTCAAGTTAGGGGTCCACCAAATGGGGGTGAAAGTAAACACAAATTCAATAGCAAAATGGGGATTTGCAAACAGGATTGGGTTTACAAGTCTGGATGTGAACCCACAAAAACTGACGTCCCCAGCAGTCTGGAATGCTAAAATACATCTCAAAGTATATGCTCCTAGGCCAAATAACACTATTTTACTTGCAGGGCACTTCAATTACAGCAAGGAATAAGGGAGTGCAGAAAGAAGGAATTACCCATTACTGCGTATCTAATGCAGTTCCATTTAAAAGAAACAAACATTGGCCTGTGCTCTGTTGTGTTGTTATTTGGCTCTTCAGTATCTTTATTATGAAAATAACATAATAGAGGTTTCAGTCTATCTTTGCTTTCTGAGGTGGCCTGTAATAATTGCACAGATGAGTAAGTTGAACTGCTCTCCATATTTAAGGGTGTGATTTATGCCTTGGAGACTGATGTTGCCATCACGCTCACTTGGAAACAACAGTTGTTAGCTTAAAGGACAGAAAGATTTGATTTGATTTGCTTTCCCATAAGAATAAATTAATAAAAATATTTCACCAAGAGAAAAATCAGTAAAATTTTGCAGTTGGTTGTATGTTCTGATGTATGAACAATCAACTCAGTCATGTAAAAGCCCTAATTCAGCAGGTACTTTTAAATATGTGGCTAAATTTAACCACAGACCAGTCTCACTGAAGATAAGATGAAAACATTAAAGAACCTTGTTGATCTAAAGAAACTGTAAAAAAGCAAATTTGTAAAACGGAAGTTAACAACTTCAAGATTTCCAGGTGTTTGCTAGGCTTGTATAATTAAAAAATGCATCTGAGCTACTTTTTGAGTCATTACTTTTTGATTTGTTTCACTCATTAAATCAAAAATGTATTGTTGTTTTAACCTTTGACTCTAAATCCTAGCTGCATTTGTGTAAAATAATCAGAGATAGCTGCAGGTAACCAAATCTCTTTAATTTGACATGTTCCAGACAACCTTTTATTATGTTTAAATATGGAATATTTTACTTATTGCAAAATATTCTGCATAATACAAGTGCTTCACTATAAAATCTTCTCTTGCTTATAATTAAGTTATTCTAAATTTAAAATACCAGTATACAGTACTAAAACCTCCAATTGAAGTTTAATATAAAAGTATAAGCACAAAACTCCTTTTTAAAGTATGTTTATTGTGAGCATCCCAAATGCCTGTTTAATTATTTGTTGTAGTATATTAATAGACTTTGCACCCCTACCGTTGCTAATTCATACCATCTCAGGTATTTTGATGAGATAAGAATTACTAAGTAAGAAAACGTTAAGTATTCAAAGGGTTAATTTGCTTATAATAATAATAAATTAGTTTTTTGCATCTTCTTCAGTTCAAAATCCAGCTCTGAGACCGAGGACGGCTTCCAAATCACATCACGTAAATAAGAGTGCTCTTTTTAACCAGTAGCAGTTTGATTGCCAATGACCCGAAGAATCTCTTTATGAATGCCTGGTTCCTGTGTATTTATGCTTGTATCACCCACTTGACCATCTTCATAACTAAAAAAAGAGTACAGAAAATAAAATCAAATTAGTGTTTTATTAATCTACCTTAAAACATCCAAAACTGTTTCATTCAATAACAAGAGTGTTTATTCCATATGTTTCCTATTAAAATGCTCTGCTGCACTTCACTGTTATATGCAGTTCCTAAACTCTAGAGAGAGTGAAGGGTGGTAGGGCTGCCATTGTCATTGAAACCCCGAGGTTGAATAACCCACTAGGACCCAAAGGGGACTTCTGTTGGCACCTGGCCCACCAAGGCATGTTAGCAGCTTCCCTCTTGCTGGAGGTATAAAGGAAAGGGCTGTTTCTGTTTCTGCTGCTGCTCCCAGACCACCCTACCTGAGGCTGGTGCCAAAGCATGCACAATGTACTGCAATACCTGTGGTACCCAAACTCCTGTCACAAGTGGGCCTCCACTTAGAGGTGACACCACAACAACCTCCAGGCTTTTTCTCCCTTTGAGAAACTCGCCTGCATTAAGGATTTGCATGGATAAAGCAATCCTGATCACTGAAACCCCCAGTCAGCGTGCTCCTCCACTGTTCTGCGTGAACTCTCTTTGCAGGACTGAAATCTATGCTGATATATAATAGGTGACAGGGGAAATGCTCACATCATAGACAGGAAGCCTTTAATGAATTCCTCAGCTTTAAAACATACACACATAGAGAAGAGATATTTTACAATACATGGATAGACTTACTGTAACATGAGGTAATGCTATAGAGTGGGAAAATCAGTAACTCTCCATTCATTTATTCTATAACTAAAAATCTACTAAACTTTTGTCACTAACTTATACATACATTGCCTAAAAAAGGTACAGAGATAAATAAAAAATGAAGTGATACTTTAAAAGAATTAGGAAGAAACAACTTTTATCTACTTCATTTACAACTATTGGAGGGAACATGGGGAAAAAGGCCTAGAATGGACAGATGTTGAATGTTAAAAGAAGCTTTGTACTCACACAAAGAAAAATCTTGTACACACGTGATCCGTATTGGGAACTACCCATATCTCTCCATGTTTTTGCAGATCAGATGAAGTTATCACTATCAGGGAAAGAATAAATTTCATAGTGATGAAAACATGCCTGGAAAATATTGCTTTAAAAGATTTGCTTTTTTAAACACTTTAAATAGCCTTCTGGGAATGTGTAGTTTTCCAATGCATGTCTGTGGCATGGCGTAGTCTCCAAGTTGGCTGCTAGTACAAATAGGGACATGAACTTGATTCTTGTTTCCAAAATATGTTATATTTTCCAGAAAACACAGATGTATGGAAGCCAGTTCTTAATTGGAATGAAAAATGAAAAAGTATATTTATTAAAAACTGATTTTAAATGGCCATAGGGCTGTTAAGGAGCATCTGAGTCAACTAATCAGCCTTTGAACAGATATCTGTGTTTGATGATGGCTGAGCTAAAAATAAGATGTGAAAGATAAAGCCTGAAACTGAGATACCACAAATTTGGGATTTGCAATACAAACAAATATTTTTTAAAAAATGAGCATAGCAATTATGACTCAAGGGGATCACAGAGCTTGCCAAAACTTACTCAATGTTTAAAAAACATAAATGATAGGTTATTTACAGGCAGAATTGGGACAACACAGGAAAGAAACCTTTTTATTGCTGGGTAGAATCTTTACTATGAATCTGTATTTGAAAATATTCCTATAAATGCATTTAAACACTACCATGAATAAATGCATATTCAATTTTTATACCATTTCTTCCATGAATTGTAATTTTTAACAAACATTTTTCTCTTGTAATTAATTTTATTTAAAATCTATATTAACCACCTCCCCTAAACATTTCTTTTCATAGAAAAATGAAGTGAAATGAATGACATAAAATATATTTTACCAAATATTTAAAATTCACCTTTATAAGATCCATTAATAAATGTGAGGAAAGAATGACATAGATGAAAAAGTCCTTGAGAAAGATATAATTTATATTTAGAAACTTCAGGCATTAAAGGCCAAGTAAATACTAGTAAACCCTAGATTCATTTCATATCTTCTTCTGAAAGTTTTAGAACTAAACTTATGTATTTTTCTGTACAGATCAAATTGCATTTTCATGTTGACTGACATCTCCTTAGTCATATTAAACATTTCACTTGAACATTCTCGAAAAAATATATATTAAAAAGCAGCATATATAGCTTAAAGCTTCCATTTTGAAATAACATCTTTTCCACTGTCTGTCTGAATTTTTACTTTTAAAATAAACAAATGCTCAAAACAGAGGGCAAACCAAGTTTAATATAATTTCTTTTTGTTTGGCCAATGAGACTAATTACCAATTACTGGTACAATTCTTATTCAAATTTCATAATTTGTTGTTCTCAAAAACTGCCGAGGTTTCATTAGTTATTAAAAGAACAGCCAAGTCTTTCAAGAATGACTGTACTCATATGCACTGGATTTTAACTTCACAACATTTCTGAAGCCATCAGAGAGAACAGACTGGTTACCAGATGAACAGTATATTTGCCTGAGAAGTGAAAATTTATTTGGAAATTTAGAAGGAAAACTGTTTTTTTCTGACTTGTAGGTGTTTAATGCATTTGTCAAGAGCTTACAAGAAGTCACTATTTCAAATAAAGACCATGACTTGGGTTATATTGGTGGCTTAGGAACATGATCATTTGAAAGACAAACCAGATGATCAGTTGCTATGTGCATATGATTATTTCATGAAAATTCAGCATGTGTTACAGGTTTTGTTTGAAGAGGGAAACATTCTGAACTGAAATATAAAGGTCAGAAATTAAGCAAGTACTCGTACACCTACTAGTAGTCTCTTACCTAAAACCAACCAATACTGGAACTAAAGGTCTCACTGATTTGCATCCAGTAACACTGTGTCCATGACTAAAACAGTTTTTCAAGGGCTTTCAGCTTACCTTCACATAAGGCTATACATTTTAAGTTACGGCTTTGCAAAAATTGTGACTGTTGTCCTTTCTTCTGTGACTGAGATGTAAAAACATGAGAAAACTTAATTAGTGCAGTAAGACTGAGTGAAAAAGTAACAAAGGAGAGGGCTGCTATTTTCCGTGGTTTATTAATGAACAAAGATAGAGGCAGTCTTTCTAAAATGTTTCTGTTGTATTTCTAAATGTAATAGAATTTCTAAAAACATTTATATCATTTCTTTTTGGATTATCATAGGAGGGATTTGAACTCCTTTATCCAGAAAGAAAAGTTCCTAATTATTACAGAATAAATAATATTATTAGAAATATCAGAATGTTACTGACAAACAAATTGATAGTGGAAAAAAAAAATAATTACAAGGTGAATTTGATCATCGATTCTTTGGCCACTACCCTGATATTTTACTGGCCTTCTCATTTCTGAGGGCTTCTGCTGTTACATACCAATCTCTCTCCAAAGACAGATTATTCTCTAGTTTTTACATGTTAACTGTAGAGACAGATGTAAGAGTTCTTTCTCAAAATTTAGCCCTACACATAAATGCTATGAGTTTGCTTTAGATAAAGCAGAATTCTAATGGTTTAATATGTTAAAACTATGAAAAAGAAAAACTGACTTGCTGTCAATGAAGTGCTACTCATTTTTTCAGCAATAACCACTCTCAATTCCTTTTGCATCCTTCTTCTGTAAGTCTAGAACGCGGAAAACAAGGGCTTGCTAAGGGTCATAATGCAATCTGTATTTTCTTTTCTTTCTCTTCCCAAATACTACTACTTGGAAAAGAAAAGTACAGGGACCTGCAGTATACTCTGCAAATTGGGCAGAGTTGGGCTGTATTTGATGGCTGCAGTCTCTGAAGTTGCTGATTTCACTCAATAAAATAAAACTTTTATCTTTCACAAAGGGAATATTGTCTCCTTTTCAGCTATCAAGTTCCCAAACATAAAACCATAAATCTTCCAGAGATGGCTGATGTACAGTACCTGTGATGTATTACTACCCTTACTGCCTGAAGCTTGTTCATCTTTAGCTGACACCTTCTGATGCTTCTTGTTCATCCCTAAGAATATTAAAATCATGTTAGATACCCTGGCATATAAATACCTTCATAAGCAAAGTTAAATATGGAAAATGAAACAGGTAGCACAGTGGGAATCAGTCCTTTGCATGGCAGTCAAAAAGCTAGTTAACTTTATCATAGAATATTTCGATTTAAATCTGCAAATTACCAACACATCTGCATGTGTTGCAAAGACTTGAGGAAAGTCAAATTAGCATTAAGCGGGGGCAAAATCAGATAAACATGAGCTTAAATGCCACTGAATTCAGCTCAGGAATGCTCTTAGGTGGTTGCTTAACAGAGTTGCATATTAGCATGTCTTCAGTTTAACTGATGCTATTCAGGTTGAAGTAACAGTCTGATTTACGGTGGGTGGGACAGTACAATTATAGAATCATAGAATCATAGAATGGTTTAGGTTGGAAAGGACCTTGAAGATCATCGA